GTTTAGTTTTTCTTAAACGATTCCACTAGAAGGGGGAAACGCCACATGAACTCTTTCCCAAAATGGCAACAATATTACGTATCCTTATAGCTATAAAATATATTTTTTAGAGACCCCCACCTCAATTTTTTCTTGTATTATTATATACAATAGATAAATGCTAATATTTTTTTGGAACTCTCAACTAAATTTTCGTTGTATTATTGTATACATCAAGTAAATAATCAATACACAATAAACTGCTATATTGATTGATATTTTTGATAATAATAATTAATTTGGCATATCTTTCAATTTCTATGTTGTGTGGGCTAAATCAATCGTATAAAGGGTTTGTGGTTCTCGTTTGAATACATGTGATTTTTAGGGGTGGGAATCGGACGGAATGGATCGGAAATGCCTTTTTCGGAAAATTTCCAATTTTTTTCGGAAGTTAAAAATGGGTTCCAATTTCCGTTCCAAATAAATCGAAATTTCAAAATCCGTTCCAATTTCGGAATACCTCGTAACCGGCGGAATTTCGGAATTTTCGGAAATTACATTAATTCTAAATTTTTTGTTCCAAAATCGGAAATAATAGTAATTTTTAGAAATTTTCTAATATTTTCGTAATTTTCCGGCAAAAGACAAGAATCCAAAATAAAGGTCAATAAGGTAAAATTTAACTCTTGTAAAAACAACATAATCAATTTAACAAAGCAAACATAATTCTTGCAAAACATGAATAGAAAAACAATTCAAAAATACAATATATATCATAAATTATATTATAAAAATACAAATATATATATATATATATATATATATATATATATATATATATATATATATATATATATATATATATATATATATATATATATATATATATATATATATATATATATATATATATATATATTCGGAAATAAAATCGGATCGGAAATCGGAATTTCCAATAATTTTATATGTAATTCCAATTCCGTTCCAAAAATAATCGGAAATCGAAATATCAGAATTCGGAATGAAAAAAAGTGTTCCAAATTCGGATATTTTCGGATCGGAATTGGCGGAATTTGGAAATTCCGTTCCAATTTCCACCCCTAGTGATTTTAGATATATATATATATATAGGTTGTAAGTATTAGCAGATTGATTGAATGTGTCGGTGGGAAGTAAAAGCAATAATAATAGATATAAAGGTTTATGTGTATTATTATCTGACTGATGTTTATTTTAATTCAATTTATTTGTGATGCAAGTCAATACATGCATGATGATCGTATATTCCTTCGAACCCATTACCACGGAATTCACGTGCATTTGTACCACGGGATTCATGTGCATTCGTAATTTGTTGTCAATAATTTATATATGAATTAGATCCTTAAATTGGTTGGAGTTAGTTTATTTGGCCCAAATCTTATTTCAAGGTGATTGGGCTTCTGTCTTCTAAATTGGACTTGTGGTTCAGTAGATAAATAAATCGTAGGTCCATTGGGTCGGTCGAATTAGGCATATCAATAGTGGTTAGGTAGAATAGTTAGACCATGTTTGGATGGCAAGATTAGCCAAGATTAACTAAATAGGAATATTTAGTTTGATATTTGGTTAGCCCTATTATTTTCCGAGTCGATCCGCCAAAATAATTTTGTCATGACTTATTTTGGCAAATTGAGAGATAATTAATTGGACCTTGAGAGGTCCAATAAAATTATTGTACTATGTTTAGATATGTTAATGACAAAATTGTTCTTCTAGTTTTCATCTCTTTATCACAATGACATAATTCAATTAATTTTTTTTTAAAGAAAACAATTAATATAAAATAAAAATAAATAAAATTCAAAAAAAAGTTTCAAAAAATAAAAAAAGAAAAATCGAAAAAAATATGTTTTTCCGAAAAGTATTTCAAAAAAAAAACAAGTTTTGTAAAAAAAATGGAAAAATATATTTTTTTTTCTAAAAAAGTATTATTTTTTTCAAATTATTTTTTTGTGAAAAGAAATCGAAAAATATAATAAATATAATAAAAAATATTTTTTTTCAAAAAAAAGTTCGAATTTCATTTTTTAAAAAAATCAAAAATATTTTTTTTGGAAAAAATAAAATATATTTTTTTTTTTGAAAATTAAATCTGGAAAATTGAAGAAGACAGAGAATTTGACAAATTAATAACAATGCTATTTTTTTCGAAAAAAACTAAAAAGTAACAAAATATAAACATTAAAAAGAAAAAGAAAAAAAAACTATGTACAATAAGAAAGGGTAATTCGGTCATATTCATGTAATTTGGTTGATATTAAGGAAACCAAACATCAAACACTTTTAAATAATGAGTAGACAAAAAATTCAAAATTTCATAACAAACATCTTATAATGTACTATTGTTTTATGGGGAGAATTATCTTATCTTGATAACCAAACGAGGCCTTAGTGGATGTAGTGGTTCTCTTATTTATTTTCTGTTTAAAGATGTCCCTTTTTTATTTAAGTTGTTATATCATGGATTTATAATTAATAATAATACTACATGTATGCTAAAATATATATTCGTTTGAGCATGTATTGGTTGGTAGGTGAGACTCTACCATTCTCCCTATTTTAAACTACAGTTGCAGACTAAACAATCACATCATTTTATTTTGGGTAAATAGCACTTAACGTCTTATAGTTTGGACATTTTGCATATAAACCTCTTATAGTATGAAATTAGGCTCATAATCTCCTTGTGGTTTGGATATTTTGCACATGACCCCCTTATGGTATGAAATTAGGCACATAACTCCATTGTGGTTTTGAGATTTTGCACATGACCCCCTTATGATATGAAATTAGACACATAAAACTGGAAAAGACTAAATTACCCCTAAAGAATAAAGACTTTGTTTCTTAAAAAATTAAAATTCGATAACAGCTATAAAGGAAAATAGAAAGAGGTGGGGAAGGAGAAAAGAGAAACGGATTTTGAGTGGAAAAGTTTAGAGAGAAAAATATTTTTAATTGTGTGCATGATTCAGTAATTTCAGTGCGGGATTTAGTATTTCAATAATTGTAATGTTTTTCTTCACACATTCAAATCTTATTTTAAATTAGTGAGATTTCCGTGAACTTGTGTGATAAAACAAAAATAACCTCGACAAGATAACCTTATGCCCAAGTCATTCTCCCAACTTTATTTCCATGTTTTCAACTTCACATTTCTTATTTCTTCTCCACCACCATTGTTTCTCTCCCACCTTTCAAATTCTCTCCACCGCCATCAAACAGCCACTCCCCGACGGCTCGCGCAGAGTAGATGAAGAAAAAGGAGAAAAAAATATTTTTTTTTAGAAATTGCAGTTTTCGTGTAAAGTTTTCGAGTTGAATTTTGAATATAGTATTCACGACACATCAATCTACATTCTACAGATAGACTTTGCAAATAGCATTACAATATGGACGAATATAGAGAAAATCCTTAACTAAGATAAAATTGCAAAGACAACCCTCAACTATTTATAATTAATTACCAAAAGTCCTCTGAATTTTGTTATCGTCTTACGTTGTTCCATTGCGGAGTGTATTTTGATGGAATTTTTCATTTATTTCTTGGAATATTCTGTAAAAGATACTAATTTTACACTCATGGTTTTTTTTTTTTTTTGAGAAAAAAACTTAGATTTTATTAGGCTATATAAGCCATACTCGAGGGTAATACTACACCATCATTACATCCAAATTCAGAAGTCGTGGCAATAGCGTGGGCAAGAAGATTTCCCAAAAACGCTTGACAAAAGAAAAATTACATGAACTAAAAGAGCTACAAATACATAAACAGTCAGCTATAAGGACTCCAAATGATGCTTTATCTGTGATCCGCCCCGTTTCAGTCGCTTTTGGAAAATGGATGAAGATGGGTCCTTCTTGACGTCACCGGAAGGAAGTACCTGTGACACCGGGAGGGAGTTTCCCTGGAAAATGCTCCAGCGATCAAGTTAGTTAATCGGATGGAATAAACTGTAAAAATGTGTACAATGTATGTGTTTTTTTTCTCCACGACTTCTTGAGCCTAGAGCCCATCATTGTAACTTCTGGAAGCTTCCCTTATTTATTCCTCGTCTCCATAGGCTGAGGTAACCTTCTCGTTGCATGTGCACCGAGGTGCCAATTTGTTTATCTCAATTTAACCATATCACTCTTATTACGTATGCCCTCTCAAATTCCGAGGTGGCCTCCAAATGGCGAAATGGTCCGTATCAAGCTGCATTGTGCTCACGAAGTGCTGTATTAACTTGTTGATTGTTGCCCCCTTCCAGAATCACATCCGATGAGCCAAGATCATGCGCCTTTGAAATCGCATGAAGTGCCGCGTGGCCTTCTCCTTCGACTACTCTTGGTCGTCCTTGAACTGTTTTAGCGTGCCACCACACCTTGCCAATCCCGAGCTACGTTCGACGGAACATAGTAATATTTCCCCATGGGAAATGCGACATCAAAGTTAATTTTGATCACTCCGTTCGCCGGCGGTTTCCACACAATTGGGTGCACATTGTCCTTGTTATGAGTAAATCGGATTTGTGTTTCCTTGTAACAATTTAGATAATTTTCACTTTAACTAATTACTTCCGGCGGCGTTGGGCTTCCCTCTTCCTATGCATGGCTTTGTTCCAATTATCCCAAAGTTTCCACATGATGACAACCGCTAAATGAAAAACATGTGGATCCAAATTTTGCTGCAACTGCGTCACCCAAGCCCAACTGTTTCAGGAGGCCATGCTTCATCGTATTGCGACGAGTCAATGAAGTTGGCATATACGTTGTCCCACAAGCCGCCGGGGCGGGAAATGTGACCTTGTAGCCAGCAGAATAAATGTCGCGGTGGTGTGGTTAAGCAGATTCAGTAATACGAAAATGAATCTTCTCGACTCTTCTAAATTGCCGCAACACAGAGTCTAGCATGTTAGACGACCACGAACTCTAGGTGTTCGCGCTGCAACTGGCTCAGCCTCATCAGTCTCATAGGCCTTATCATCCTCATCCTCATCATCATCGTTGCCCGTCGTCCACCACATTATCCATCATCTCCTCGTCATTGTCGTAACCAACTTGAAGATCATCGGCAATAGATAGAGAAGGCCAGGCTCCCACTGCAATAGTTTCTTCTCACTGCTTCTATCGCTCTCACTTCTTCACTCGTATCGCTTTCCTTAATTCTACGATCGGATGCAAGAAATTCTTGATTTTTTATGCGACCCAATCATCCGGATTGTTCAACTTCGCACCCAAAACTTTTATCAAACTCTTACATTCTCCATCAACCTGACTCGTTAAACTTTTTCCTCTATCTCTCGCCATCTATAAAACCACATTAGTATTGCCAAAAAAAAATTAACAAAATAAAATATATAAAAAAAAGTTCATGTGGAAACGGGCGAACACAAGTGTACTGAGTTCGCGTGTAGGCACGCCACGCAAACTCAGTACACTTGTTCGCCCGTTTTCATGCAAACACCCAAAAAAAAAACGCATGCGTTCCTGTGTTTCTAGGCGAACTCGGTAAATTGAGTTTGTGGTGTTTTATGCGAACACAGCCCACCGGTTCACCTTGAATCCCACGAACTCATGCCTTTTTTTTTCCAAAAAATATGCAATAATTCAATTTAAAAAAAATTGAAAAACATACTCAAACTCATGAGCTTGCGTGGTTCTACGCGAACTCAGTCCACTGAGTTCGTATAGAACCAAGCGAGCTCCGCCAAACATGTCTTTTTTTCCATATTCGTACTTTACGTAACAAAACAATCATAAAAACGTAAAAAGTTTCCTCCATTATGTTATCGTCTCGGTTAGGATCTAAGAATGTGTCTCCAAAAGCTTGAGAGAGTTTGAGAGAAATTAAGTTTTTAGTTTGAAAAAAATGATATAAAACAAAAGTGCTTGTAAGTTCTAAATAGTGCATGGACAATCAGTTTAGTTTATTTAATTGGGAAAAAAGAAACAACTCCCTATATATATATGATATGCACGAACATGATTCGATCATTTGTACAATTTATCTATGAAAATATGCAAAAAGAGTTAACCACGTTTTATTTCTAATATATTATATATAAACATAACCAAAAAACAAAATATAGTACATAACGATGACGTTACATCAGCACACACTTGACCGGGAAAGTAGATGCTACACTTGATTGGTGCAACCGCGGACCAAATCAATGTCACGCCCGCATGCATGCACCAACCTTTATTATATTCATGCATTACATAGAAGTTTAAAAAGAAACTAAAACTTCAAGCAATATTTCTTGGCTTCAAGACAATGATGGATTGTTTCGACATCCGGGTAGCAAACTGCCCGTTATTCTCAGCCGTGTCAATCCTCGACTGCCCGGGTGGAGGAAAAAGCTCGAAATTCTGCACTAGCCTGCCCAAAGTGATGCCCATAATAGGTATCGCCATTATAATCCCCGGGCAGCTCCTCCGCCCAACTCCGAATGGAATGTACTTGATGTCATTCCCGTTAGCTTCGACATTGGATTCCTCTTCCAAGAATCTTTCGGGCCTAAATTCTTCGGGCTTTTTCCAACGGGCTGGGTCATTGGCTAGCCACCATGCGTTGACGAAGATCCTACTCTCTGCAGGGATCTCGTAGCCACCGAGATTGGCCTTGTCGAGGTTCATGTGTGGGACCAAGCAAGGAACCACCATTCTCAGGCGAAGGGTTTCTTTTATCACAGCTTGGAGGTACGGGAGTTTGTGAGTGTCGGGCTCCGTCACTTGCTTATTCGGGCCTAGCACCGCGTCCAGCTCGGCCCGAAGCTTTTTTTGTGTCTCGGGGTTGTTGATGAGTTCCGCGATGGCCCATTCAAGTGCCCAAACGGTAGTCTCTATAGCTGATAAAGACGAAAAGTAGTATTAGTGCCGTAACAATTACGACGATACATGTTTAAAGAAACAAAGTAGCGAAGCATATACCCGCAACATTCATGTTCTCAACAATATAAAGAACATTGTCTTCGTTGATCTCTCCATTCTGTTGAGATACGAGAAAATGGTCTATCCCGCATTTGACGCGATTTTTGTCTTTCTCCTCCTCTACTAATGCAATCTTCCTGCAGTCGAAATCACACAACTCACATATCACACATTCTACCCAAGTTATACATAGCACAGACACGGACGCGGAAACGGCGATACAGGAAAACAAACACAGGGAAACAGCATGTCACGAAAATGGGGATACGAGAACTTGGGAAACGTGTAAATATTAAAAGTATAGGGGTATATTTATAAAAATGTTGTATAAACATTTATAAGTTTTTATTTATATATAAATCATTTTTATATATTTTCATACAAACATATTCAAAATATATTTTACTATCAACTATCAATTTGCATCTGATCATTAAAGTATAAAAATAATTACGGAAGCAACAAAAATATTTGAAAATTTGCTATTCAAATATGTTTCTAACTTTTTTGAAATTGCGAAATTGCCCATAAGGTGTCCGACAGGTATCTTTGAGTTTCCGACACGAAACATGTACGTGTCTGAAACGCGAAAACGTTAAGAAGTTGAAGTTTCCGTGCTGCACAGCGTATAAATAATCACGCAATATGCATACAATGAAATAAAGGAAAAAAAGAAAATAGATCACTTACCTCCTTTCTTCAACAAAAGAGTCCTTGTACAAGTTCAACCTCCTCCTAGTTACCTCCTTGCATTTCTCCAAGTAGCCTTTCAAAAAAGGCCTCAAAATCGGCACGAAATCGCCGAAATTGTACTCGAGACTCTGCCCCAATCTACTCCTCTCACCATTCACACTCTTGAGCTTAACGTACAACGGATCCTCTTCGCTCTCGAACTTCTTATCGAACATGATCTTGTACACGTTGTTGTATATCATGAGCTCGAGCCGCCGCCTCAGCACAACCCCTTCCGCCGCGGCCGCGGCAATGTTGCTCCTCACGTGCTCCACCACCTCCGCGGCCTCCGCCTCCCAGTCGCCGTGGTACTGCTGCACCACCTTGTTGGTGAAGAAGGGCACGGTCACGATCCGCCGCATCTTGCGCCAGTGGTCGCCGTAGTCGGTGAAGATCATGTCCTGCCCTTTGCCGGTGAAGATGTCGAAGACGATGTTCCTCGATCGGGAACCGAACGCTTTCCCCTGAGTGAGGAGGACCTCCTTCGCCAGCTCCGGCGAGGATATGACGGCGATGTGGCGTTGCCCCATCTTGAGGAGGAAGAGGTGGCCAAACTTCTTGGCGTATTTGATGAAGTCGTGGTGGTCCAAGCTGTTGCCGACTTGCAACCAGCTCCCGAATATCGGGTACTTGAAGGGGCCCGGCGGCAGATTCAGGCGTTTGCCGCGAAGCTTCGAGACCACTATGGCGGCGGCCACGGCGGCGAAGAGGGCGACGAGGGATTTTTGGAGGAGGAGAAGAAAATCCATGGGAGGAGTAATTAATTAGCTAGTAGTGGGAGTTGTGGTTTGATGAAGTTGTTCTCCATGGCTAACCTATTTATAGATTCTTTTTTTTTTTATATATATATAAAGTGTTTTAAAATATTTGAAAAGAAACTGGCATGCATGTACCCATGTCAAACTATTTAAGTAGGGGGGGCCGGTTTTAAATTAGCTAGATTATAAGATGCAGCAGCAGCAATATTAAATACAGCACACACAGTCTGCATTTATTCGTATGCATTATGCAGTACAATTGGTTTATATGTTGCCTTTTATTTAAATGAAATTGTGACATGAATAACGATATGTTCAATAATCATTAAAATATAATCTTTCTTCTGATCTAAGATGCATAATTATCAATCAAGTTTGTAAATTCAAGCTTATGTGTAATATGTTTTCAAATGGATCCAAACCAAGCTAAGCTTCTATTTTTTGTAATATATATCTTTCTCTGTAATATGTAATTTATCTGAAGTCAAGCTTCTATTTTTTTTTCTCTCTCTTCTGGTGTCCGGACTCGAATTTAGCACTACAAAATATAAAAAAAAATAAGGCATATTACGGCCACCCTTGAGATATGATCAAATTATGAAGAAAAAAAATCCCTCTTGTTTGTGTAATTACAGTCATTCCCTCATTTTAAATATTTTTACATAAAATTTATGTAATTTGGTTATTTACCGAACCAGATCGTATATTCAGTTCGGTAAACGGTATGAAATGTTGGCGTACCGAAATTTTGGTTCGGTTTTACGATTTAACATCCCTAAATTTACCTCTGAAGGGTATTTTCGTAAGATAATACATAGTTGAGAGGTGACTGTAATTACCCAAACATGAGGGGAATTTTCGTAATTTGATGCTAACTCTAATTATCCCAAAAAAATATGACATTAATGATTAAAATCAAAACAACTCAATTTTTGTTGTCAATGGAATAAGAAAAAGGAAACTAGGATTAAAAAAAATGAGTAAGTTACCGCCACCCTCTGAGGTGAGGTCAATTTACGGAAGAAAAAACCCCCGCATATTTAAGTAATTACAATCACATCTCAACTATAAATCTTCTTACACGTCCATCCTTGCGGTGTTAAATTTAGTGGAATCTTCTAAATTTAGTGGAATATTCTAAATTATGTGGAATATTCTCCAGTTTGTACCCGTTAACCGCATTCGAGCTTCACATTTTGAACAAAATGATCATAAGATATGTCTCTTGGCTTGTAATTATCAGATTATGGTGTATCAGAAACTGCATTTTTTCACAAAATGAGTGGTCAACTAAACATTCCAAAGAGTATAATTTAGAAGATTATATTGAATTTGACACCAGTTCAGAGGATGGTTGTAAATATCCAAATAAAAAAGTTTTTTCGCAATTCAACATTATCTCAAAAGATTGGCCGTAATTTATCCCTAAAAATTTGATAAAAGAAATATTGCAGGACAAAAAACTCTTTTTTTTTCCGCACTGAAACTACAAGCATCTATGTAGGATGGGTGAATCATGAGGTGCAATGCTAATAAAAAAACGCAGGCCGGCATGAGTACTAACTTGTTTTGAATTTTTTTATCATTTTCCTTTTGAAATTGGAAGGATAATGATTCGTTGAATTGAAAGTAAATTCTAAGAATTATAAAAGAAAAAGATATAAAATTTGAATTGAGAAAATATATAGAGGGATAGGGTTGACAACCAATTCCTAGAAGAAGAAAAAAAAAAAAAAAAAAAAGGAAAAAGGAAAAATATAATTCCAAAATATAAGCTCTACTTCCTCCTAATTTGAAGGGAGGGAAATTCTATGCTACATCTGGTGAATATAACCAGACACCCTAATTAATAAGATTCTTACTACGGGTTCAGTTATGACCCAATGGGTTTTAGAAATATAATTATAAAATAAATAAAAAAGGACACATGTCAAGAAAAGAGCCACCCGGTGAAAATCACCATCGTATTCCCCTAATTTGAATACGACATTTCGAAAATTGAATTGAGAGAAGACAGGGTTGACAACCAATATGCAGAAAAAATAGGAAAAATATAATTCAAAATTTGAATTAATAAATTATTAAATAGAATATGTACAATAATAACTTTCAAAAGGGCGGGAAAATTGTCTTTCTCAAAATCAAATTAACAACAACGATCTATCTAGCTAAAAGCAACATCGTTTTGTTTTGTTTGTCGTGGTCCTATGCAGCAATGCTCATCATGGGACATTGTTTACCCCTTATTGAGTTTAAGTTAAGATATAGAAAATTAGCTTATAGTCCCCAATTATGAAATTTAAAATAAAAATGTGATGAATTCTTTTTATATTAAGTCCTTTAATTACTTCAAAATGTCATGTTCAATCTAAACTTCTTTCCACTGACTTTCGAGCATGATTCTCATTACTACCTTACTCTTTATTGAATCCCTATAATTGAAGTGGGATCAAGCTATCTGAAACGAAACGATGAATTGTTCGATTCGACGTCATTAAGGTTTTTTTCTTAATTACCTTTAAAATCATAATAACTTTTAGTGGAAATGTAGAATGTGTGTACCGTAAACTAGGTTGTTCCAATAATTTCCGGCTTGAGGTTTTTAATGAGGCGTATGTATTCACTCATCCGATTTTACAGTTGATACAACAATGATTCGTCTAATATAATGAGGAGTGTTGTAATACGTGTAATGTGGTTAAAGGATGATGGGACCAAACATGTATAACACCAAAGTAATTCTTTCATATACATTAGCTTCAGAAGAATGGAGAGATTGATGTCCAACAAATTCGCCCACGTGACAATCTTGCTGATTTGTTTACAAAATCCGTATTGACTTGTACATTTGAGAAATTAGTGTACGGTATTAGAATGAGAAAAACTAATACGAAGCAAGATTGACATCCATATCGGAGACTACATTTCTCATTTTAAGGAGAGTAATAGTGACCTGCATTCTTTTTCCCTTATGACTAGTTTTGTTCCTTGAATTTTCCAACAAAGATTTTTAACGGGACAGTTTATGCACGCGACTTGAATTTGAGCTATACATTTTCTTTTTTTCCTTTTGACCGGTTTTGTCCCATAAAATTTTCCTACTTGAGATTTCTAATGAGGCGTATATATTCATTCACTCATCGATTTTTACAGCCGATACAACAATAACCATCCAATGAGTGTTGTAATATTGCGTGATGTGTATGTACATTATGAGAATGGATTAACTTTCTTCAGCAAATGTTTTTCTTTCTGTTCTTCACAGTAGCTTCTATTGCAATAATATTTTTGCTTATTTAAATACTATATATACTAAATACTTCACAATCTCCTTTTTTTCTTTTTCTTTTTTCTTCTTTTTTTCTTTTTTTCTTTTTTTTTTTTTTTGGGCTTTTTTTTTTTTTTTTTTTGTTTTGTATGTTTGTGGGCCGTGGGGGTGTTGATGGCCCCTAGCCCAACTTGTGTTGACCCCCCTAACTCTACTTATGGTTCGCCATTGATTAGGCTAATTTGAAACCCAATTTAAGAAATGAAATGAAAAAAGCATCTACGTTAGTAGTTTATGAATATATTATTGACGGTGCTTGAAATCCGCACTATAAATCCTACTCGTTAAGTCATCGGAAAGATCAACACCCGTTAGATTAGAGACCGGCGACGGTGAAACAACGGACGGAATATAGAATAGAGAAGTAGAGAGAGTTTACAAAGAGATAACTATTATTGATGTAAAACACCCTAATTAGGATTATTACAAGTGTTTATATAGGCATATTATTCTAGGTATCTCCTATTATCAAAAGGCGTGTAATCAGCCAATCATCTATAAATTACACTTTCCTTCTTAACTTATCCGATTTTATCTTCTTTTCTTATAAAAAATATCTTATTTCATTCTTCTACAAGTTTTCCTATACAGTTCGGACCTTGTCGCACGGGTTCTTCAGCTGAGGTGGGCTCATCACTTTAATTGAGGCGAGCTTGTCATCTAGTTTTCCCAGAACTAGCCCTTATGCGAGCTCCCAAGCCCATCATAAGACCCCCTTTGGGCCGCCAATTCATACAAAATTCATCAACTCCAACTCGCGCTTCTTCCTCCGGCCCACTTTCTTGGGCCCAGTCAAAGCTTGCCAAGATGACCCATCAATTATGATGGTCTTCTTTTGCTTGTAATTCAATTATAATGTTTGATATTACTATTTTGTTCATAACATAGATATTGACATAAATCAAGGCATTCATTTAAATCATTTTGCTAGAAAAAACATTTGTTGTTGTTACGTCAAAGAATAAAATCTCCTTGGTGTAAAAATAGTAATAACTATTAGGGTAAATTACACTAACACCCCTAAGGTATGCTTAAATAACTGTAAGGTCCCTATGGTATCGATAAGGACAATCACCCCCCTGAAACGTAGTTAGAAACTCTAACGGGATAATGCATTGGATAGATTATTCCGATAGGGTTCTAATGGACTATTACTTTTAGCTAGTGGTGGAGATAACATAGAGTTATGTGGAGTAATGAGGTGACATGCCTCCTGAAATATTACTTAAATCACCCATAACTCTTTGTCGTCTCCACCACTTCCTGAAATCAATAGTCCGTTAGAACTCTATCGTAATAACGTATCCAATGCATTATCCCATTAGAGTTTATAACTATGTTTCAGGGGGTGAGTGTTATTATCGATACCATAGGGATCTTACAGTTATTTAAGCATACCTCAGAGGTGTGGGTGTAATTTACCCTAACTATTAACATACCTAAAATGTTAGGCAAAATATTCAAGAAAATCTCTACCTCACCTACCTAAAATTCGGTATATACCAATATTTTTTGGTATAGTAGTTATAATGAATTTTGCTATATCGGAACTTTGGTGATAACAGTAATTCGAGGGCTAGATATAATCGCCCTACCAAACTCAGCCATATGTATCATACGCTATATAGCACGGAAAGTTCAACTTCTTAACATGTTCGCGTTTCGGACCTGTTTCGTGTCCGACACTCAAGAACACCAACCGGACACCTTATGAATTATTGTGCAATTTCTGAAAATTTAGAAATATGTTTGAATAGTTCACATGTTTTTGTTACTTCCCTAATTAATTACATGATTTCTTAATCAACTATAAATTGATAGTTGATAATAACATTATTTTTTGGATATGTTTGTATGAATTGAAAATATAAGAAAAAAAATTATATATAAATAAAAACTTATATAAATGTTTATATACCATGTGTATATATATCTATACTTTTAATATTTATACGTTTTCCCCAAGTTTCCCGCAACCCCTTTTTTCTGATATGTTGTTTCCCCGTTTCACCGTTTCCTTGTCCATGGTGCATAGATCATTATTATTATGTCTGAACAGATGAGCTAACTTCAATGGTTATTTTCATAAAAAAAGATTGCAAAAGATAGAAAAAGAAATGTATTGTAACTGACAAATACAAAATATTCATCCACACTAACCCAAAAAAAAACAAAAAACAGAACAAATAACAAATACAGAACATTGAATCAGAATCATGCATCCCTCCAACCCACTGTTAACACCAACAAGAAAATGTATAAAACAAAAAAAAAAAAAAATTAAAAGGATCTTGGCTTCAAAACAATAGTGGAGTGCTTGAGTATTTGAAGACTAAACTGCCCAGCCTTCCCAGTAGTATCGATCTTCGACTCGCCCGGTGGAGGCAACATCTCGAAATTCTGGACCAAACGCCCCAAAGTAATTCCAAGTATAGGCAAAGCCAATATAATCCCGGGGCAGCTTCTCCTTCCCACACCAAACGGTAGATACCTAAAGTCATTCCCATTCGCCTCGACGTTAGATTCCTCCTCCAAGAATCTTTCGGGCCTGAACTCTTCGGGCTTTTTCCAGTGGGCCTCGTCGTTGGCAAGAAACCATGCGTTGACCAGGATCTTGCTCTCTGCGGGGATGTCGTAGCCCGCCAGCTTGGCGTCGTGGAGGTTCATGTGGGGCACGAGGAGTGGGATTGCCATGCGGAGGCGGAGGGTTTCTTTTACCACGGCTTGGAGGTAGGGTAGCCTGTAGGTGTCGGGCTCGGTGATTTGTACTCCGGGCCCCACTAGAGTGTCGATCTCGTCTCGTAGCTTCTTTTGGATCTCGGGGTGGTTGATTAGTTCCGCGATTCCCCACTCGATCGACCAAAGGGTTGTTTCGATTGCTGTTTAATGGAAATGAAAGTATCAAGAATTTGAGAAATGAAAGTAATATTTGTTTATATTCCGAGGACACTGATAATTACGTAGCAGTCAGAGCGGTGTTTATTTGTTTTTTTAGTGGAAAATATTTCTTTTTTACTATAAAAAAAAGTCAAATGATGTGAAGACGAAAAGTCAAAATTGAGGAGAGTTAGGTGTGGTGTGTGGTTTGTAAAATCTAAACTTAAAACATAAGTCACGTGGGAGGCCAACAACCAATCAAAATTAGAAGTCATACCCCAAAGAAGATATCTTAATTGATGGCCATATGAAAATCTTTAATACCTACTACTACACCACACCTACTTTTGGACAAAAATTATTTTAAGGATACTCCACTTTTTCTTTATATATATATATATATATATATATATATATATATATATATATATATATATATATATATATATAAGAGTAGGGCAAGATGTGCATATATTTCTGTGGGAGGTGACTCAAGAATGATAAAAAAGTTGTTAGCGTCATGTCACTTTTAAGGATAAAAAAAATGATTTATTCATTGTAGATAAGAACTGTCTACTGTGTGTGTTATCTTAATCAATTATAATATACATTTCAACAATATATATATTACATACTACCTCGTTTTATCGAGCTCTATGTCTCGGAGTTAAATGTTACACTTGATTATATTATTATGTGTAAATCTAAGGTTGATATCCATGCCGTGCAAATAACATCTAATTACCTATCTGTACACAACGGCATGTAACACTAAAGATAGGCTAATATCAAGAAACGGAGGAGGTTGTATTTATTTCGTTTTTTAAGACAAGAAAAGAAAGGGAAAGAAAAATAAGAAGAAAGAGGATAGACAAGTACCGGCAACGTTAATGTTCTCAACAATGTAAAGAACATTGTCCTCATTGATCTCTCCCTTCTGTTGTGCTTCTAGAATGTGATCGATTGCGCATTTTAGTCCTTCGCTATCGGTCCCCTTTGTGCTCGTAAGTTTCCTGCCAAAAATAAATTAAACCATCAATTAGATTAACAATAATGTAACAAATTAAGCGAAACACGAGCTTCTAGCGTCCGAACCAAAAATTGCGCACAAGTCAATCAAATTAGACATCAAAAAACATTTCCCGATAACGTCAATTTTGCACCTTCAGTTAAACCTCTATGAATTAATAGTGTCTGAAGTAGCAAATTTCTGTTAATTCAGCAAAATATTTAATTACCAAATTCATCATTTAAGCGAGGTTATTAATTTATCGACGATGCAGACCGTAGTCTAGTGTGTTATCGAAACATTTTACCGGAAATTGCTCCGATTTTCACACCAACTAACTACGGTTAGCGGCATAATCGATCGCAAACACTAAAAAAAACCGAGGATCGGAAATGAAAGTGTAAACTTACTTCCTCTCGTCGACGAAGTAATCCTTGAAGAGCTTAATCCTCTTCTCCTTAACCTCCCTGCAGATCTTGAGATAGCCTCTCAAGAAAGGTCTCAAAACCGGGATGAAATCGCCATAGTTGTACTCGAAGCTCTGCGCCAATCGGCTCCTCTCTCCGTTCAGCGCCTTCAGTTTCAAGAACAGGGGATCCTCTTCGCTCTCGAACCGCCTGTCGAACATGATCCTGTACATGTTGTTGTACATCATCAGCTGCAGCCGCCGCCGGAGCACGATCCCCTCCGTCGCCGCGGCGGGGTTCTTCCTGACGTCGTCAACCACGGCGGCGGCCTCCGCCTCCCATCCGTGGCGGTTCTGCTGGACCACCTTGTTGGTGAAGAAGGGCACCGTCATGATCCGCCGCATCTTCCGCCAGTGCTCGCCGTACACGGTGAACACCATGTCCTGGCCCTTGCCGGTGAAGATGTCGAACACCACGTTGCGGGTGCGGGAGCCGAACTCGACGCCCTGCGTGTGGAGGACCTCCTTCGCCAGCTCCGGCGAGGAGACCACCACCAGGTTGCGCTGCCCCATCCGGAGCATGAGTATGTCGCCGAACTTCTTGGCGTACTCCGTCAGGTTGCGGTGGTTCAGGTCGTCGCCGACCTGCAGCCAGTTGCCGAAGATCGGCACCGGGATCGGCCCCGGCGGGAGCTTGAATTTCTTGCCGCGGAGCTTCGACACCACGGCGGCGATGACGATGGCGGCGAACAGGCCGAGAAGGGTCTTCTCGAGTAGGAGAAGATCCATCATGAAGAAAATGGGCGGCGGCGGCGGCGGTGGTGGCGGTGGGGGTTTTATGGGGATGGGAGGCTTTTAAATTGACATGTAGATGAAAGGGCGCGTGGTATTTATATAGTGTGGACAGGTGTTTGGTGGAAGGGTGTGGGGGGTGATTTGACGGCGTTAGATTTAACGGAAAATTGGGGGATGGCGGATGGGCGAGTCAAACAGAGGGGGTTAGGTGAGTAGGGGTTTGGTGAGCCACACAAGTCAACTACTTTTTATTGTATTCGTGAATGGGCAACTACGCTTGTGTTTATTAATTTGCTTAATTAGTTGGCTTCCATTACTCCTAATCTTTGTTAATTCCCTTGTTTCAATTCTTTAATTTTGGTGTTGCTATTTGATTCGAGATATTGTAATTTATTTATTCAAATTCGGATAAAGTGTTATTTTTGTGTTGTTTTTCTGTTAAGGTGTCACTAACGATTGTGATAATTGTCGTTTCAGTTAAAAATATCATTTTGACTTCAAACGTGATTTTGACTAATTTTTTATTTGAATTTGGCAAAAATTTAAACAACGAAAATTGTAGGTCTTTGAGTTAGCTTTCTAATTCAACTTAAATCACTGAGATTGGATGCCGGCTAAATAATATCTGTATGAATTGATGAACAGTGCCAACAACTTTAACGTTTTGAGTTATCTAAAATTCAAAATATAAGTTTTTCATGCATAATTTTATCCCAACATCCAAACTAGTTGATTTCAGTTGGATTAGAAAGTTAACGTGCATGACTAGAGTTTTCGTGTTTTAAATTTTACCAAAATCAGATTAAAAATGGTCAAAATCATATTTAAAGTCAAAACGACATTTGTAAATTTGAAACAATATTTAACATTTCACTATAAGCATAGTACAGTTAAAACTTCTATAAATTAATACAGTCAAGCCTAATGAAATTCAATTAATTTATCGAAATATTATATTATCAAACTAATAATTGAGTATATTTTTATAAGATTAGGACATGAAGAAATTATTATTTAAGTAAAAAAATAAGATTATTAATTTATCGAGGTTCTATTGTTCATTGATTTTGGCAACACATTGGTTGAAGATTAGGGTAGAAGTTCTAATGGATATTTTTCAAAATCCGTTTGATTTTTATTTTGTTTTTTGTAATGTACTATTTTTTATTTATTTTTCCAAATCTCAATTTCCAATTTACTTCATAATTTTGAATTGAAATTAAAAGTATACATAAAGCTATTGAGATCAACTTTGATGTTGCACTTCCGGAAGATATGGACTTTTACAAAGTTGCGATGGTGGCTCGAGACTCGGAGGGGCAATGCAGTGGGTGGAGCGTTGCCAAACTCATAGGTCGACCTAAGGCGGTTGAGGGTGAAGCTCGTGGCGCTCTCTATGCAATGTTGACGGCAGTGGCTAAGGGCTGGTCTTCAGTTATCATGGAAGGGGATTCGTTGCAGATTATTAATGCCTTACAAGGAAGAGGATTCTCAGACGCATCATATGGTGCTCTTCTTGATGATTGTTTTTTCGTTTTGAATTCTTTTTTTTTCTGATTGTCCGTTCTCGTTTATTAAAAGATAGGGTAATTGTCTAGTTCATGCACTTGCTCAAATGGCCGTTTTGGACCAATTTGAGGGTGATGTTCTCCCGTTTGATGTGGCTATTTATGCCTAATATATGATCATTTTCTCTCAAAAAAAAAAAAGGAAAACATAGATCTTTGAACATATTATAATTTAACAAAAAACCTAATGATTTTCTAGAAATATATTTTTATTTTTTTTATCATACTTATGTAGTATATTTTAAATATAGTTTATGTAAAACGACGCATATGATTATTGATGAACTATTAATTTCCTATGATAATGAGAATTTTTTTTATTCAATGTTATTTTGTTCGGGTGGATAAATGATATTACAACTTTTGAAAATTTTCAAAATTGTCCCTGATATGTCTATTGGTCCAGCCCAATAGACCCATATTTACTGGGCCACATGCCCAATTTAATAGCTATTTCTACGGAAGTCCAATCACATCCGAATAAGGTTGAGCCCGATAAATTGATCTCGGCCCAATCAATAGAGTATAAATACAACTTAAGTTTGTTTAATGGAGGTACGCTATTATTATTCAATCAATTCTTCTATTCGAATTCTCTCTACAATTACCGACTATCCGTATGACTTGAGCGTCGGAGGGGTTTCCGCCGGATCAACCCCCGGCCTAGTTCAGGTGTTCTTTGTTCGCAGGTATCTCAAGGACATCTAGCACGTGAGCAGTGATCCACTTTGCTCTCCCACCTCCCTCGATCTCAACTATTTAAGGTGATCTATTTTTAGCATCATCATAATGGCGCCGTCTGTGGGAAAGCATACAAGATCACGTAGCGAACATGATGTCCCTGAGTCATGTACTCGGAGAGAACGTACCAATGCTAACATCCTTCCACCTCGTGGAAGCTCTGACTTGCCACTTACTCCTCGTAATCAGGATCCACCTCGCGAGGTTCAGGTGAATCCCCCTCGGGATCCACCACTCGTCGAGCCTCCACTACCTGCTCCACCGCTCCTTGTTTCCCGAACGGTTCAAATAACCGAAGAGGCCCTCCAGCACATGATTGCGGAAGTTTCGGCTCGTGCTGCCACTGAAGCAGTGGCACAATATATCGCCACAACGGGAGTCAGCGCTCCCCTTGCATCTCCACCCGTGCCACAACATCCTCTACCGCCAGCGGATACCGCATCCACCTCAAACCCTAGGTCTCGAATGCAACAATCTACTCATCGCCAAAATGCACGAACTGGGCGACAAGACCCACATTCACCTTCAAGAGGTAACGCCTCACGCCAACGAGCTCCTCCACGCAATGGTGGAGATGATGAAATTAACAGCCGGGTGTCTCGTTCAAATCACCTTCCCCACATAGGTAATCCCATTGGTGGAAGGGCGATACCTCCAATAAGGCGCAGTCCCTTCACTGTCGCAATAATCAATGAGATACTACCCCAACGGGTAAAGGTCTCGAGTCTACCGCAGTTCGATGGAACTAGTGACCCACAGGAGCACCTTGAAAAGTTCTACGCCATGGCAGATCTATATGGCCCAACTGATGCGGCGATGTGCAAGATGTTTTGCACAACGCTCTCTGAACGAGCATTGAGCTGGTTCAACTCCTTGCCCACTGGATCAATTGAAGCTCTCTCCCAACTAACGGATCGCTTCACCCACCATTTCTCTATCAACAAAGAGTACGCTAAGACTCCTGCGTACCTCTTCACTATCACCCAAAGAGAGGGCGAGACCCTCCGCAACTACATTCAACGATTTGTAGAGGCATCTCACAAAGTTCCTAACGTGGGAGGAAGCATGCTCGCTGGAATCATTCAACAAAATTTGAAGGAAGGTAGATTCAAGGAATCCATTGCAGGATGACCTCCAACCAATCTGGAAGAGCTACTAAGTCGCGCTGAGAAACACGTGCGCATCGAAGAAGCTTCGACCCCCGCTCCTCCCAAAAGGAAAAGAGATGAAGATCACTTCAGCACCCGACGACGAGATGGCCGACGACAATCGTCGACATCTCATTGGCAATCTCCTTCTACATCTCTGGACTTTTAATGATGTCAATGACACTTGGAGTCTCTAGAGCTCATAACATTGTTAGTGATCGCATCATCCTAAACTGGGGGGCTATCCTACCTTAAGGATGATGCATTCTCACCTTTCTACATGAATTGGACGAAGCATCTACATCATCTATTTAGTACAAGTTTAGTTATTTTGAGCGATTCGCTCCCAACTTGTTTAGTTACATTTGCCTCAAGTAGGCTTGTAACCTTCACATTTTCAAGCAATGAATAAAACAAATTATTTCCCTTACACTCGGTGTTATTACTCAACAACTACATAATTATTATCTCAAGTCAACATTAACCCTGGGAACACTTAATTAGAGATTTTATAATGATCTATATAGCCTGGCCAGCTTGATTTTATAAACTTCTCTATCTGTCTTTATTGGGTTCTACATTTAAAACGTGGCCACGGTCCTAACATATTTACGACCCATGAGGTCTAACAAGGGGCACGATCCCCATCAAAAAATCTTGAGAGTCTGATCCCCTCATCAAGTACATCACGCACAATGCTAAATGTAAACACATATAAGCAACGCGTCAAACCAATGACAACGTCATACAAAATAAACGTCAAATGAAATAGTAATGGGCAAACCCATCTACTCCAAATATGAAGATAAAATGAAGAACCTACAATTCCACTCACCTTGGGCCACGTGCCATAAAAAAAAAAAAAAAAAAAAGATGAAGAACAATGAAACAAGAAAAACAAGAAGAAGAAAAAAGAAGAAAAGAAAAAAGAAGAAGAATTAGAAAAAGAAGAAAAAAGAAGAAAAGAAAAAAGAAGAAGAATTAGAATAAGAAGAAGAAAGAAAGAAGGAAGAAGAAAGAAAAAAAAAATAAAAAAAAAATACTCCGCGCGGTCCCCCCCCCCCCCCCTCCCGATCGCGTCGCGCGGTACCCCGCGCGAACGCGCCCCACCCCACCCCACCCCACCCTAACCACTCTCACTCTCTCTCTCTCCTCCCTACCCCTACCCCTACCAGC